TGGCATAATGGCAGCAACAAATTACAAGTTGTCGCTTAGATTCCTTACTGTATGCTGGCCAGGTGGTTACATATGGGTCTAGGAATCCAGAGAGTTTGACAATGCATTTGTTAGACCATTCCCCTTCTACCAGCATAGACCTCTGTAGTAGGACTTTGGCTGATATATCTCATCAAAACGAACTGTAGATTTTGAGAATAAGGTATTTTTGTGTACAGCTTACACACTGCTGTGCTTTCGTTCTGTTTGTAGGAATTATTTATGTGGAAATGAAGGGATCTGTGTCATGCTGGAGGTCATTCCATTTGTCCACAGGAGTATCATCTGGGGGTGGGTGGGAGAAACAAAGAGACACAGCCTCTGGAAGAGCAGAGGCAACAGGGTACCAGGAGGCATGAAAGCAGCCACTCAAGTTTTGTATCACACATTCCATGGAGACACACAAGATGGCTGTGTGTTAGTAACGAAACCTGGAATGGCGGTGATGATAAAGCAATATGTGAAGGTCCAACATGATCCAGCAGGTTCAAATGATTTCAAAAAGGTTTGGACTGAAAATTGGGAAGAACTTCCCCTGATGCTGTGAAGAGCTAGGGAGTGTTCAATGATGGGACAGAACCCTTCAGAATTCAATAGACCGTCCTTGCAGCAATTTATTTATTTATTTATTTATTTATTTATTAAACCGAGGATAGAAGTGCATTTCTCCAATTATCAGGGAATTCCAAAAGATGATTTCTGAGGCCTGAGTGTGTACAAAAATCATAGCTACGTCCCAGACATCTATGCCAGTCGCAAGTTTAGACCTCCCATAAGATAGAGAGAAGGGACGTGGTGGCGCTGTGGGTAGACATCTATGCCAGTTGCAAGTTTAGACCTCCCATAAGCCAGAGAGAAGGGACGTGGTGGTGCTGTGGGCTGAACCGCAGAAGCCTGTGCTGCAGGGTCAGAAGACCAAGCAGTCGTAAGATCGAATCCACGCGACGGAGTGAGCGCCCGTTGCTTGTCCCAGCTCCCGCCAACCTAGCGGTTCGAAAGCATGCAAATGTGAGTAGATAAATAGGTACCATCTCGGTGGGAAGGTAAACAGCGTTCCGTGTCTAAATCACACTGGCCATGTGACCACGGAAAGATTGTCTTCGGACAAACGCTGGCTCTATGGCTTGAAGAGCGGGATGAGCGCCGCCCCCTAGAGGCGGACACGACTGGACAAAAATTGTCAAGGGGAACCTTTACCTTTTTAAGCCAGAGAGAAGTGGCCACCTCAGGAAATAGGGTTGCCAGCCTGAGGATACCAACTGAAGTTTCAGGGAACTGCCATGCTTCTCCAAGTTGCGGTTGGCCTGGCATCTCCAAGCATTGGCTCTTAGACCCTATACAACTCAGATGGATCACAGGGGGCATTGAGGAGTAGGAAAGCCACCGATCCCGTCTGTCCTTCTTCTGTGTCTGTTGTTGGACTAATAGTCTCAGGGTCTATCTATCAACCTCACTTCCTTTCTTTTCCTGGCTCTCTAAGAAGCAGGCATAGTGTGGTTCCTCCCACGTGGTTCATATCTACCTAGTTAGAATTAGGATTTACGCTCTTCCTTTGTGAATATAACATTCTTAATAAAGGTCAGCTGAATGTTTTAACTAGTCCTACCTGTTTTTTTTTGTGGGCAAACCACTTCTAAGTACTTTATATCTAGAAAACTCTGCCATGGCTGCTATAAACTGGAATCTACTTGACTGCCGACTGCCGACGTATTATTTATTTACATCCACACATGCATAAAAGAATGACGCACATCCTATTCACCACAAGAGGTCAGCATAAACTAAGAAACATTAATTTCTTTTTAAGTAGAATTTAAAGCTTCTGTTTTTTTAAAAAAAATTCACTCACACTGAAATCAATCTTTTGCACCCTTGAGAAAATCAAGATATTCCAATTTCTGCATTTTGAACTGTTGTATTTTGTTGTTATTTGAAATATGTAGGTCTCTACCTTTTAACAGCTATGAATCGCATTTTAAATTTTTATTTAATGGAATTCTGAGAAAACTACTGTGATACAGTGGATACAGTGATGGGCTAGAACTCAGGAAGACTGGGTTTGAATTTCCCAGGGATGGTGTCTTAAGTTGCAGGACTCACTGTCAAGGTGGACTTAACTGGTGACATGATTTGAGGTGTTTTGTTTTTTTCAGTGAATCGGACTTACAACTTGAAACCCACCCAAGTCCTCTCTTTTTTTTCTGCGCTGAAAAAGCTTGTTTTGAATAGGGACTTGGGGCTTGGGACTTGGTACCAAAGACTTGGAACCAAAGACTCGGATTTGCCAAGATCCCTAGAATTTCCTGTGAGCAATGGAAACTTCCCAGGGGGTGGAAATGATAAACTACTCCTTTAAGGTCTCACCTACCTTGAAACTTGTTTTAGTGTTGACAAAATTCATTTCTAACTTGACGGCACATAACATACGTATTACCATGGAATACTGCACATACTTTGTACGGTAAAATGCAACACATTTCAACCAACTAGCAGAGGGCAATTTGTTGTAAAGAATGTTACTCCTTCAAAGCAGTAAACATGGATACCCTGAGGGCTTGCAACACCTATTGGTCATCAAGCATTTTCCCCCTGCATTAAACAGCTGATTACCAGGACCAAATGATTAGTCATAGGGAACTTCTATAGCAATAAACGGCGGGCGATACTAAAGCCAGACTGACGCAGTCACTGAGTATCAACTACCAGAGGCTAATCCTCATTTTTCTATTGAATCATCATGATAGCTGTCGTAATGCGTTTCTCCTATTTATTGTTATTAACTTCTATGGAAAGATGAGGACATAGCCCCATGTGTGTTGTTCCATGTCCTGAAGAAAAGGAAATGATCCACATCAGACATACCTTTGGGAGGTATGTCACATACATTTGGGCCTCCTATAGAATAAAGGTCCCCAACCCCTGGTCTCTGGCCCAGTATCGGTCCATGGCCTGAGTTGGATCGGGCCGCGGAGACAGACATCCTGCCCCATTCCCCTGCATGCACTCACCTCGCACAGCTGATTTGCGCATGCGTGCAGGCTCCAGTGCACCTGTGCAAGCACTGTGCCGCCGTTTGTGCATGAGCATGAGTACACAAGTGCCTGCACAAGTGCTGTGCCGCTGTTTACACACACACACAAGCATGTGTGTCCACACAAGTGTCACTGCGCATGTGCACAAGCAAGAGACAACGCTTGTTCGCATATGCACACGAGTGCGGGAGGTGCCCTGCCTTCCCCAGCTGGTCAACAGAGTGAAAAAGGTTAGGGACCCCTGCTGTAGAACATATCATAGACTGCAGTTCCCGTCATGTTCACGCAGCCAGATATGCAATAGCTCAGCTCCTAGTGTGCAGCAGCCACCCAAGCAGCTTTCTGGTCCAGGACAGCACTATGTTATCCTTCTGCCTCATAGAGTCCTAAAATATTCTAAGACAGACAGTCCACACCCCTTCTTGAAGAGATAAGAAGGAAAATCTGGGAGAGAGTCACTACGATTGTGGCAACACAGATAATGGCAGCAAGGGTCAATGTGGGATGCAAAATGGGTCGAAAGGTCTCACATGTACATAGAACATACCTTTGAGCACTGGAACTAGCAAAGTCCTGACAGATTGGTCCCAGTAGTGCAAATCAAACTCTCTGTGTATTTATGTAAACTGAATACACACAAATTGAAGTATACACTACAACAGTACTGGAGATTGACAATTGCTACTATAAAACTAATTGCCAGTTCCCCAGTCTGAGAAATCAATTCACTCATCCATGACAATATGTCCAATACATATTAGATAAGTAAAAGGGGCAAACATTTGAGTGATTAATATAGAGTTCTATGAACTAGGCTGTGATAAAATCTAAGAAAAATTAATCAGAAGAGCACAGCTGCTGGAAGAGCAAAGTTGTGCCGCAGGGCAAAGCCAGCAGTGGAAATACAGTGGTGCCTCGCAAGACGATTGCCTCACGGGGCGATGAATCCGCAAGATGATTGGTTTTTGTGATCGCTGTGGCGCTTCACAAGACGGTTTTTCCTATGGACAATTTTCGCAAGACAGTGTTTGGGTCCATGACTCGCAAGACAATTTTTAAAGGGATGATTTTTCGCAAGACAATGTTTTTGACAGTTGGGTTGATGACTCGCAAGATGATTTTTTTAATGAACGCTTTTTCGCAAGACAAATGTTTTCATGGTTTTGTTGTTGTTTTGGTTGAAATCTCAACCATTAATAACCAGGATGCATTGTGCAGTGTGCCGGGAAGGTTTAAAAAGCCTCCCCAATGCAGCCTGGGTTCACTTTTCCACGTGCAGTTCCAAGGTTGACTTAGTGAGGAGCAACTCTGGTCTGTGTTGTGGGCCATCCTGTGTTTGGTGTGGTCTGTGTTGTGGAGGCATCCTGGCTTTGGAGAAGGCGTGGTCTTTCCTGAAGTTGAAGTTTTTCAGAACTTTTTGGCCAGCAAAAGGTAGGTATGCATTTGTTCTCCTGTGTTGGTGGAAGGTGTTATGCCAAGTTTTATTTTTATTTTTATTTTTATTGTTAAGTTGCAGAGGAAAGGTGGTGGGCTTAGCTTGTGCTGGGGGGGGTTATGCCAATTTTATTTTATTTTTGGTAAGTTGCGCAGGAAAGTTAGGGGGTTAGCTTGTGCTGGTGGGGGTTTGATGTCAAGTTGATTTATTATTTTTTTATTTTTTTGGTAAGGCATCCTGTCTTTGGAGAAGTTGGTGTGGTCTTTGGTGAAGTTGAAATTTTTCAGAACTTTTTGGCCAGCAAAAGGTAGGTGTGCATTTGTTCTCCTGTGTTGGGGGGGGGGAATGTTATCCCAAGTTCTTTTTTCTTAGCTTATGCTGGGGGTAGGGTGTTATTCCACTTGTTTTTCCAGGGCGGTTTTGGCCAGTGGTGGGAAGGTGTGTGGGAAGGTGAAGTGGATGTAAAACACTGCCTTTTGTTTTTGTGAACGTAGCAGCTGCTGACATGGCTCCCAAGAAGCCTGCTTCTGCAGAAGCCAGGAAGATGACGAAGGAGAAGATTACCCTTGAGATGAAGAAGGAGATAATCAGGAAGTATAACAGAGGCACGCGAATTGTGGACATCGCCAGGGAGTACGGGAGGAATCCATCCACCATCGGGACCATCATGACGATGAGGGAGAAGATCCTTGCCACAGATGTAGCCAAGGGAGTCACCAGGATCGTGAAGATCCAGCTGTTCTGGAGGAGGTGGAGAAGTTGCTGCTCATCTGGATGCAAGAGAAGCAGCGTTCAGGGGACACAGTGACTGAGGCTGTCATTTGTGAGAAGGCCAAGGCCTTATACACAGACCTTGTGCAGCAACAGCCAGGAACCTCAGCCGAGCCAGAAGAATTCAAGGCAAGGAGAGGCTGGTTTGAACAATTCAAAACCAGATCTGGAATCCACAGCGTGGTCAGGCATGGAGAGGCTGCCAGTTCCGATGTTCCTGTGTCCAAGGACTTAATAAACCCTTTGTAAACCAAATTTGACTTTGTTCTGACTTCTTATGCCCATAGGACCTCATTAATAACATTTCAATGCATTTCTATGGGAACCTGCGTTTCGCAAGACTTTTTTTTTGCAAGACGACAATTTTTCCTCATAGGAACACATTAATTAGATTTCAGTGCATTCCTATGGGAAAACACGTTTTGTAAGACTGTTTTCGCAAGACAACATTTTTCGTGGAACAAATTAAAATCGTCATGCGAGGCACCACTGTAATAGAGAGACCATTTTATAATATTGCCATTTTTAAACTCTATCCCATCTAGTTTTTGGATCTTGTCATAGTGTATAGACATAGCTGCAATTGTGTCAATTCCAAATTTCATTTGGATATCTTCACTAAATACTTGCACTGTGTTTAGCAGTATTTCTATCTCTGTGGAACTTTTTGCATATAGTTTTAGGTCATCCATGTATAACAGATAATACTGATTTTTCTTGCTTGTTCTGAAATATGGTAACCCAATCGAGTTTTATTTAAAATTATTGACATGGAGATTAGTGAGATGTTAAACAGCAGTGGTGAGAAAGAATCCCCTTGAAATATTATTCTTTTGATGCCAACTTTCCCAATTTCTTCACCATGGGCCATTAGGATAGTTTTCCATTTTTACATGTTTTTCTTGAGGAACTTCTGAATATTTTTACTAATCCCAACATTTTTAGGCAGGTGTTAATCTAGCTGTGTGGCAATGAGTCGAATGCCTTTTTATAGTCTTTCCAGGCTATGTTAAGATTTGTCTTTTGTCTTTTTGCATTCTTTAGTATAATTTTATCAATAAGCAGCTGATCCTTCAGGCCTCTTGACTTGTTAAAGTTCCCTTTCTGTTCAGTAGGGTATAGGGAGTTTTCAAATAAATAATTATATATTGACCTTGCAAGTACTCCTGTGAGAAGCTTGAACATTGTTGGAAGGCATGTCATTAGTTCATAATTATTGGCTTCATTGCCCTTTGGATGATCTTTTATTACGAAAATGTGTGACCTGTTGTAATTCAATCTTCAGTTGTAGAATTTTGAAGCAAGTTATTAAATGGCACTGCTATATGTTGATGGAGACTTGTTAAATGCTTTACCAAAATCCATACAGCTCATCTGGACCAGGGGCTCTCCAATTTTTCACAGCCTTTACTTGCCTCTTAATGAGTTCAGTTGGAATTACAATATCATATAATATCATCATATGTTTTTCTTGAGTTTCTTTACAAATGTCTTTAATTCATGAGGCATTTTGTTAAGTTCAGTTGGGTTTTCCCAAATTTCTTCCCAAAATTAGAGCATCATCATTACATGGCCTAATTTCTATTGCTCTGCATTTCCTCCTAGTGATGTATAGAATAATTGTTGGCTATTTCAAAATTGTGTGTTTTCTCTATATTGTTTCAAGATTCATCATGCTTTGCTTTCATCTGCATTTTTTAAAAAATGTACCACAATTTGATCTAACATATGGAACAATGTACTCACCATATTCACCATCTCAGTTATATGGCTTGGCAAATGTGTCTTCTCTATTTCTTCAGGCACTGATTGGACACATTTGGCAGCAGGTTCAGTACAACTTACTCAAGCAGATTTCTTAAATTTAGACATTTTACTTTCTGGGACTGCAGCTTCCAGAAATCTAGAGCCAGCATGAATATTGTTGGGCAAGGGGAGACTTCAGTTTTCCATGCAAATGCCAGAGCGCAAGCCATGTTACTTCTTTTATTTGCATAAACATAGTTAACCTTGTAAAGCCTGAGTCATGCATTTGCACAAATAGGGTGGACTCCATGCAGGCTGATTCAGGGAACATACTACACACCCCTTTGAGAATACTCCCCTTAGGTTCAAATAGGAGTCAGTGTTCTCATTTGAACAGTGTGACCCTCACTTTCTCTACTCAGATTTCATTGAGTTCAATGTGGCTGATCTAAAAGTTAGGGTAGGGGGAATAGGCAGTTTGCTGTTAAAAGTGCACTTCATTGTTAAACATCAGAAATAATTCAGGCAGCTACAGCAGCATGATATCTTTATTGAGATCAACCAGAAAGTTACAAATCAATGAGAAAGCTTTTGGATTCAGCAAAGCTCCTCTTCATTACAAACATTTTTTTATTTTTTATTTTTAAGATATGTTGCTGAGAATAATCAAAATATCTCTTCTGCAGATTCTAATAGTCTTAAGGTAGAATGGATGAGGCGTCACACAAAAAGATTGTGGGCTGAAGCAAGACACTTTATCTATCTATCTATCTATCTATCTATCTATCTATCTATCTATCTATCTATCTATCTATCTATCTATCTATCTATCTATCTATCTATCTATCTAATCTATCTATCTATCTATCTATCTATCTATCTATCTATCTATCTATCTATCTATCTATCTATCTATCTATCTATCTGATTTTTATCCTGCCCTTCTAGACATAGAACATTTAACACTTTGGGTTAAAGGAAGTATGCCCCTTTGAACAGATAAAAGCTTGGGTTAGATTACATCTTGGACTAATAAACTAATATGGCTGACTTATCATGGCACCACAACTTTAGCACTGTTGTTGTTATGTGCCATTAAGTCACTTCCAACTTATGGTGACCCTATTTAGGGTTTTTGAAGTACATGAGATGTTTACCAGTCACCCCTACTAAATATCTATGGGCAAAGATCGCCTGAGTTCTGTTCCATTCTTCTATGGAAAAACTATTTAAGCACTGCAATGTACAGGGAACTTTACAGGTTCTTGTTACCAGACCTTATACAATGCAGTAGCTAAAAATGAGTTGATTACGGGTCCAGATTGATTTGATGACTGAAAAAGTCAAATATGGTGCTAGGGAAATATAACAATTCAGATAGTTTCCCCTCTTATTCAGATTACAAAATCATCCTCCACTGTCACCCATGAGCTCATGCATACAGCATCCCTTCCTAATGATTTTAATCAGTAAGATTCAGAAATATGAAGTTGAACTAATATCCAATTAAAATTTCAGTATCCTTTTAGATTCAGGTGTTGCAAGGTGCTCAAAGGGTTGCAACCAAGGCTTTTTCCTTATATGAAATGAGAAATGCCTGAGGTTCAAGCTGAAATTCAAAAAGGAGGAGGCCCTTGAGTCACACTGCAGATATTCACCGGCTACTGGAGAGCACCAGAAAGTTTCACAAGTTCAGTCTATGCTTTATAGGCTACAACAAAGCTTTTGACTGTGTAGATCATGAGAAACTATATGTTGTTGTGAAAGAAATGAGTGTGCTTCAGCACTTAATTGTCCCGATGTGCAACTTGTACTGTGGAGAAGAAGCTACCTTTAGGACAGAATATGGAAGCTACCTTTAGGACAGAATATGGGGAGAGAATGGTTTCCCATAAGCAAAGAATAGGGTGCATTTTATCCCCCTATCTGTTCTGTCTGTACACAGAACATATGATACAGAAAGTCAGACAGGACTCAGATGAAGGAGGAATAAAAACTGGTAGAATGATATCTTAAATCAATGATTTAAGATATGCAGAGGACCTCCTCTTACTGGCAGAAACCAGCAACAACTTGAAACAATTACAGTGGTGCCTCGCTTTACGATTCCTCACATTACGATGAATCCGCTTTATGACGATCTTTTTGCGATCGCAATTGCGATCACAAAATGATGGTCTAAATGGGGGAATTTTGCTTTGCAATGATTGGTTCCCTGTTTTGGGAACCGATTCTTCACAAAACAATGATTTTTAAACAGCTGATCGGCAGTTTCAAAATGGCCACCGGGTAACTAAAATGGCTCCCTGCTGTGTTTAGGGACTGATTCCTCACTATACAGGCAGCAAAAATGGCCATCGTGTGGAGGATCTTCTCTGGACGGTGAGTTTCAAGCCCATTGGAATGCATTGAAAGGTTTTCAATGTGTTTCAATGGGCTTTTTATTTTCGCTTTATGATGTTTTCGCTTAACGGCAATTTTCCTGGAACAGATTATCACCGTTAAGCGAGGCACCACTGTATTAGGGAAAGTTAAAGAAGAAAATGCCAAAGCAGGATTGCAACTGAATGTAAAAAAAGACAAAAATCATGACTACAGAAGAACTACACAACTTTAACATTGACAATGAAGAAACTGAAATAGTTACAGAATTTGTATATTTTGGTTCAATCATCAATTCAAAGCCAGACTGCCGGCAAGAAACCAAAAGAAGACTGGGACTAGGAAGGGGAGCAATGGAGGAACTGGGAAAAAATCACTGAGTGTAAGGATATGTCACTGCAGAACCAGATCAAAATCATCCACACTCCTGTATTCCCAATCACTATGTAGAGGTGTGAAAGCAGGACAGTTAGAAAGTTGACAAGAATTTTTTTTTATTTGATTGAAAAGTGATGCTGGAGGAAAGCTTTGTGGATACCTTAAGACTGCCAGAAAGACGAACAAGTGGGTCATAGAGCAAATCAAGCCAGAACTATCTCTGGAGGAAAATCCTTGAATCTGAAGCTGTGACAATTTGGGCACATCATGAGAAGGCAGGATTCTCTGGGAAAGACAATTATAGTGAGAAGGATAGAAGGCAGCAGGAGAAGAGGAAGACCAAATATGAGATGGGCATACTGCCTAACGGAAGCCACAGGGCTGAGTCTGAAGGAGCTGAACAGGGCTGCTGAGGACAGGACATTTTGGAGATTGCTCATTCATAGA